AGAGCATCAGAATACACAAAGGAAAGTCTCTTCCTTAAATAGTGCTGAGGAAACTGGATTTTTACATACAAATTCATGAATCTGTACACTATCTTACCTCATGCACAGAAATGAACTCAAATTGGACTAAAGACTTAAATGCAAGATGGACAATGATAAAAATCTCAGAAGAAATCAGAAAAAACTCATTGATATTAGTTGTGTCAGTGATTTTTGGGGAGCATGACACTGAAAGCACAGGCAACAAAAGCAAAAATTTTAAAATGGGATATCAAAACAGAAATCTTTCACACTAGAAAGAAATAACATGATCAAAAGACAGCCTATATAATGAGAGGAAATATTTGTAAACCATGTTTTTGATAAAAGACACACTCAAACTAAATAAAGATCTCTTAGAACTAAATAGCTAAAAATGGGCAAAGGACCTAACAAACATTTATGCAAGTAAGACATACAAATGGCCATCAGCATATGAAGTGATCAATATCAAGAATCTTTGGGAAATGCAAACCAAAATCACAGTGAAACATTTAATATCTCACTTATTTTAGAATAGATATCATCACAAAGACAAAAGATAATAAAAATTGTTGAGGATGAAAAGAAAAAGGAAGCTTTGTATGCTTTTGGAAGAAATTTAAATTGGTCTAGGCACTGAGGAAAAGACCATGGGAATTCCTCAAAAAATTAAAAGTAGAACTACTAACAATCCCTCTTATGGGTATATAGCCAAAGGAAATGAAATCATATCTGAGAAATATTTGTAGTAGCTCAGTTATACCTTCATTGCAGTGTTATTCACAGAAGCTAAGATATGGAAACAACCTTCATGTCCATCAGTAGATAAATGGATAAAGAAAATGTGGTATATAATAAAATAGAATATTATTCAGCCTTAAAAATGAAAGCAAAATACAGGTGTGGTGGGACACGCCTGTGATTCCAGCACTCAGGAGGTTGAGGCAGAAGGATGTCTTCGAGTTCAAGGCCAGCCTGACTACCTAGTAAGACTCTGTCTCAACAAACAAATGAACAATCCAACAAACAAAAATGAAGACAATTTTGCCCTTCATGACAATGTCGATTATGCTTAAGAACATTATGCTTGGTGAAATAAGCCAGGTGCAGGAAGATGAATACTTCACAACCTAATTTAGATGTGATATAAACAGTGAAACTCACAGAAACAATAGAATAGAGGTTTCCCGGAATGAGGGTATGAAAATGGTGAGATACTGGTTAAAAGTAAACTTTGACTTTTAAATTCAACAATTCATGGGGATTTAATGCAGAGCATGGGTGATGATAGACATATTAATTTGATCATGGTAAACATTATACATTGGATATGTATATCAAAACACTATGTTGTATGCTTTGAATATATTCAATATTTTTGCATGACTTTTAATATTTTTAAAAGCAATAAAAATTCAAATAATGTTATATTTAAGGATAAAAATTGAGAAAAGGATATGAATAAAAGCAATCAGATCTTTGTAGGATATGGAAAAATACTTGGTCTATGCCTGTCTTGGTTACTTTTCTCTCCTTGCTGAGACAAAGTACCCAATGCCCAAAATTAAGTAAGGAAAGGTTTATTTAGCTTACAGTTTGTGGAGGTTTTAGTCCATACTTGGCTGGCTCCAAGGCAGAAGATAACAAAGCAACAAGAGCAAAGGGGGGAATGGCAGTGGTTGCAAGCTTCTTTCCCTCCCTTATATTGTAAGCAGGCTACCCCCACCCAGGTGGCTGCACTCACATAGTTAACCTTCTAAACGTCTCACATTGACACAATGAATAATATCCTAGAGCAGGAAGGGCATGTCCTTAGCACCCCAAGATGCAGAACTGCCGAGTCACTTAGCCAAACCTCTAGACTCCCCAAGTTGACAAAATGTATCAACCATAGCAATGCCTTAAAATCAGGGATTTTGTGAAATTAATCTAATGCTACAGCTTTATATGTATAGAAGTCTTCAAATCACAGACGTAAGTGGTATATCTTGTGAAAGTCAAAGCAGCCTGTCCTAGTACATATTAGTTTTTATTACAGGATGTGATAATTAACTGAAGATCCTTTTTTTTTTCTTTTTTTTTTTTTTTTTTTTTCCCGATACCGGCAATCGAACTCACGACATTGCACTTGCCAGGCAGGCACTGTGCTGCTGAGCTAAATTCCCAGCCCTGTGATAATTAACTGTTGTGTCAGCTTAAGTAAGAAATGCCCAACTGATTGACTTATCATAGTTCTGGGTGTGACTGAAAGGATTTACTACAGATGGAAAACCTATCCTGGTTGTGAGTGGCACCAATCAATAGGCCTGTAGCCTGAATGGAATGAAAAAAGGAATAAGGAAGGAAGGTTTGTTTTGTTTCTTTGGTGGAGCTCCAGTCTTCACCTTGGACATTCCTCTCCAGGTTTCCAGTGCAGACTGTTCAGCCTTTCCTCACAGAGCCTTAAACCTTCCACTGCGGATCCTTCATCTTTCTACAATGGACACATATGGGACTCTACTGTGAGCTCCAAGCCTTCAAGTTTTGACTGGAGATATACACAGTAATACTGCAAGTCACAAATGCTTCTGTTGGCAAACAATTTGGTTTGCAAACAAAAACATTCTACAAAATTTTGCTTCCATTTGCAAACTCTGCATTGGGTGACAAGCATGATACCCAGAATCTTCCTCATACAAACACAAATGCAGCCATCTTCCCAAAAATTGTTTAAAAAATTAAGTCTGTAAATGTGCGTGCACACACACACACATACCTGCACTGACTGGTACCGATATTGGTACCAGGAGAGGGGAAAGAAGGGAGGGTCACTGTTTCTTGTCTGCCTTGCCATGAACTCTTTCTTCTCTGCCACGCTGTCCTATCTTGCAGCCAACCAACTATGGCCTGAAATCTCAACAAACTGTGAACAAAAATAAACCTTTCTTCCTTTAACTTGTAAGAATGATGTATTTTGTTCCAGCAATGAGAAAGTAACTAAGACATGGAAGATATATAACTAAGCAATTTTCTAGTCATAATATATTAGTCAGGCCAATCTAACTGCTATAGGAAATGACTTGAAAGCTTTAATGGCTTAACATAGAACACATTCCCTCCCAACTTACCTCATGCCAGAATGTGGCTGGAGGAAGCGTGTAATATAGTCTACTTCACATGGTCATTGAGGCCATAATTTATTCATTTAGTGGGTTCTCCCTTGCGTAATCCTGGAATCCTCTTTACTTGGCCTGAAATACAAGAAAAAAATTTTATGTGTCAGATTCTACCTTGGATAGCACCACCCTGGCTCATGCCACCCTGACCAGCCACATAAAGCCAGCAGATATCTACGAAAGTGCTGGGAAATTTGGTCTACATGTATGACCAGGAGGAAAATCGAACAGGATTTAATGATTCAAAATTCATTACACATAGTCCATGTTCGATGAAAACAATAGGTATAAGAACCTTGAGTTTACTTAGCTTTTGTATACACTTACAGAGAGAACTAACTTTGCAAGAGTATTATTGTTTTTTTCCAAACTTAAAGCTTTCCCCTGAATAAAAGGCCATCCATTCATGAAGAATAAGGAGAAAGACATTATTTTTGTTTGATAGTATTGATGCTATTTTATCTTTAAGGAACACAGATGTGGACAGTGTTTTATTAATTGTTTCTTATTTATGTTATTACTCTGAAACATAATGTCTTTAAAGAGTAAGAACCATTATTCTCTTACAATTTAAAATTTGGGAATGATTCTTCTATATGGTGGAGTCAGATGGTAGCTAGATTCACAATATTAGGATGCAGAAGCAGGTGGAGGTAGAGAGAGACCATATAAATAGTTATTACTTGTACAATCTGAGCTTCTGTCTGTATGATCTCCTTACAGAGTTTAGTTTGGGCTTTCTGTAAAGATACTGTAGTGGCTTCAGGCCAGTCAGACTGCTGATATAGATGCTGAATTAAGACTGTTAGGTTCATTAGATACATTTTCTATTTTCTATGTTCCAGTAAATGACAGTGTCACCAAACTTTCCATTTCAGTGTAACAGGGCTCCCTTTCCTGCAGTTTCCAGAAATATTTTCCTTACTTTCTTTGAAGCTCTCACTGGCTACTCTTTTAAGAATCTTTAGGGTTCTGCTAATATTGTGCTTGAGGTCCTTACGACTTTCAATCAGAACTTCCCTGGCCCTCGTTCACATGCCACCCACTTTCCAGACCCAAAGCCAGTGCATATGGTCTACCTTCCTGTGACAGCAGCATCCTACTTTAGGCAACAGCATCCGTTTCATTTATGAAACCGCCCCGATGCTGTACTTTGACTGAGGCTATTTCTAGGGGTTGAAGGTGGGGTGTGGACATTGCAGAGGATGTGACCAGGATGTAGACTAGCTGGGGAGAAGGAGAGCAAGCGAGGAGCAAGAAAACAATACATTTTCCATTCAGAACTTCTGGGCCTTTGAACAGTGTAGGTAGAAAAGTTAACATTAGTTGAAAATATGAATCTGGAGCTCAGAAGAAAGGATGAAAATAGAGGTTTAGTAGTCTCAACTTCATTGTCAAACCCACGGGAGTACATAGCATAACTCAGAAAAACTGAAGAGATGCAAACCTCGTGAGTATTAACACTGCACGGGGGCCAGCCTTGGAAGAGCTACGCTAAGCGGAAGAAGCAGGAACAAAGCATATTTACCTTGGGAGTCACGTTTACTTCTATATCCCTATTCACCTGCCTGTCATTAACACAAGCCTGATCATTGTCAGATGGTAGCAGATTCATAATTTTCAACTTCTCAGTATTTGTTGGTGAGGAAATCTCCAGCAAAAACCGTTCATTTAGTATTACTATTACCTTTATTATGAGAAAGTATCTTTGTTTAGACAAAGTCTTACCCATTTTACAAGACAGTAGGGAGTGTACCCTCTTTGCCTTTAGGAGCTCATAAATGTCAAGCCACCAGATATAAACATGCTCCTTAACCACCAGCTGAAGTGCCCAAAGTGCAAAGTATCTCTTCTCTTAAATCTTCGTCTTCATTTTCAGCCTTTCTTTCTACATGTAGGAAGCCTTTAGTTGCTGTTTAGTGAAATAAATTTGAAAGAATAAATGGAGGAGGAGTAAGAATGGGGCTAAGAAGGAGATTTTTGAGGGAAAGAGGCATTGTTTTGGTTAACAGATATTTATCAGCCCCTTTTGGTCCTTAGAGTACAAATTCTTTGGTGACAAAAAGTGATTTATACACACTGAATTCCTAGTTCAGTATTTGACACATACTTTATGCCCAATAAATGTTAAATAGATGAATTTAAAAATTCAGACTAGACGGGACTCTGTTTTGTCCAGTAAAAAAAGACAAATCCAATATAGATATATTCTCAAGCATGTTATAGTCTGAGGATAGGTAAATAAGTCCCCGAATTGTTATAATACAGTTTGTGCATGATAAATTTTGGGGGGTTGATCACAACCCAAAAAAGACTCAAAGAAGGTAAAGTATATATTACAGTGGGCAGTCATGGGCATAGATCAAGGTATGGTTGATGAAGAGGAAGTATTTAAGATGGCCCTTAAAAGATGAATGGACCGGAACGAACAAGGATGGCTCAGGAGGACATAGCTTGAATGAAAGGAGGAGGGTGTAGTTTGTGGGACCTCAGGCTTGAGAGATAGGTGAAGGGCCATGGGTTACAGAGGACTTTTCCTGCTTTCCTGGACACATCATGCTCTTCTGTGATTGGAGCAGGAAGCAACCCTGAGCTTCTCTTAGTCCTCCACAGGTCAAGGTATCCCCAGAAAGATGAACTGTTCAACCCCAAGTGCGCAAAAAAGAAAAAGGGAACTTGCATGATAATTACTTCATCCTTCCCATCAAAGTACCCTCTTCTCTCCCCCACCTGTTCTATGGAGGGAGCCCTGGGGAAATGGGACAGGCTGCTGCCTGCAGGCGCTCATAAATGTCAAACCATTGATCTAGGTGAAGAGCGAGGATGGAAGTAGCTTACACATGTGCATCTCTGCCCTTCAATACCGTGAAGATCAGGAGCACGGGGATTGTACATTTTAGATTTGCGTTCCCCCACAGGGTATGACACAGAAAATCTTTAATAAATATTTACTAAATGACTCTGTTTGACTAAATTCCAGTAAACTTCTGTAGGTTCTTGTGAGAGTCCATTTTTAATGTAGTGAGGTTAAAGAGACAGATGCTAGACTGATTTCAGCACTATACTGAAATGCTTAGCCAAGATGGCTTAGGCCTCATGTGCTGGCATAGGGCACTGCCAGGTGTGCGTTTCTGGGTGGTGTCAGACAGGAGTCCTGTGTGGTGTTTGTTGCAGCAATCCCGGAAATTATATCAGGAAATGATCAGTTTACCGCAGTCGTACATCAAGACTACTGTTACTTGCTCAACATCTTTTCAGAGCTAAATTTTTACCTTTTAAAATTAATTTAAAATTTCTATTGGTCAGTGTGAGAGCTTTCCATCTTTTGGTAGAGAGCACTTTAACTTTTCAGCTTCTTGAAAGTAAGGCATTTAGCTAATACGAGTATTTTCATTTTGTTAACTTCCTCCAGAGTCCATTCACTTGCAGTCCAGAAGGTATGAACTGTGAGCATTTAAATTATATTTGTTAAGCACATTATTACTTTAGTAAGGCCAGGTATATATTTTCTGTTTAATATGATGATCAAAAAATATGTAGACTTCGTGGTGAGTTTGGGGACTCTGAATCTTAACACTAACGGCAATGACAGTGATTCCTTTGAGGAGCTCAAGCCCCTTCGAGTTAGAGGATTTCCACACTTAGTCAGGGCTCTGTGGTTGGGTGGAAAAAGAGTGTTTTGAAAAGACCTGCTACTGTGCTCGCTTCAGGAGCCCATACGCTGGTCCTTGGTCTGTGGCCTCGTCCTGCAGCCTGGTCCTTGGTCTGCGCTGCATCCCAGACTTCAATCTCAGGTCCCAGATAAATAGGATAGGCCAGAGCTAGAGGCTTGGGAACATTTCTCTCCAGGCAGTCTGCAATCCCACGTGGCCAAAAAGCAGCTGATCTACAATATGAGGCAGCTAGGGGTATCTTGTCCCGCCCCCCATGCCCTCTTGTCATCAGTGAGCAAGGGAATAAAGACTTGGCCCCCGACTTTGGTAAGATTGCCACTCCCTGCTCTGGCACAGAATTTGCTTTTGTCTGATCCTTATTCTGTGGAATAACTTTGTATTTCTTTAAAGCCTGTCTTGGTTACTTTTCTCTTCTTGCTGAGACAAAATACCTGATGCCCAAAAATTAAGGAAGGAAAGGTTTATTTAGCTCACAGTTTGTGGAGGTTTCAGTCCATACATACTTGGCTGTTTCCAAGGCAGAGTGACACATAACAGAGGACAACCATTGGTGGCAGAAGGCAACAAGAGCAAAAGGGAAGAGTGGTTGCAAGCAGCCTTTTCCCGGCCTTTACATATGCAAACTATCCGCCCCAGGGCAGTGCAGCACTCACGCCCATAATCCCAGTATTGGATCATGGATCAGTCACAAATCCTGGAAGCCCGCCCCATGACTGCATGAAGATTTAGGGGGGAACATGCAGACACAAACCATAACAAAGCCCTATATTGATTTTAAAGTCATGGCAACTAACAGCCTTGTGAAGATATAAAAATTAAAAAGAATTATTTGTTCCCTTCACTAGAAATAAGATACAATCACAACTTTAATTTTTTTGTGTTTTTTTTTTTTTTTTTTCCTCTTGTATTGCCTTGGGAAGACTTTGAGCCTTTTCCCCACAAATCAATCTAGAATTGAAGGTAGACAAACCACCCGAAAGTAAAAGAAGACTCACCATGGTAAGCAGCTCGAATATACCTATTCCTCTTGTCTCCAGGACGATCTGCTAATTGCTTTGCTTCCTTTTTTGTTTCTGTTAATGCTGTTCCAGGGCACAAATTTATCTGCAGAAGTTTTTATTGGATTCTTCTGAAAGTCATCGAATAAACTTAAAAGTACCAACATTTCTGTGTCTATAAAACAAGTGTCAGCATATTTATCAGTTTCTTTTCTTAGTGTGATTTCTAACCTCCTTTCTACTCCCACTTCCCCTTAATTCAGAAACAAAATCCGAAGTCTCCTAATCAAGTATTTATTATTAAAAAGACAAGGATTGCTAGAAAAACAAACAAGTTGAAAATGTCTCTGAAATCTGATGAAAATTACTTCAGCAATGTAGTTGACAAATAGACTCATAACTCAGATTCCTAAGTTATAAAAGAGACATTGAAATTTGTCAGAAGGGATGTTTTGAAACTACTCTTTCTTTCTTTCTTTCTCTTTTCTTTCTCTCTCTTCTTCTTTCTTTCTTTAGTTCTATTTGCTGTATGTAACAAATATTTGTTGTCAGTAGTTGGTGCATGTACCTGACATATCCTAATTCTTTTTACATCCCCTTACCTTCTCTTTCCTCTACCCTCTGTCTCTTAATCTGCTTCCCATTTACAAAAATCTATCTCCCTGTTTCTTATTATCTATCTTTTATTTTGCTCTTTAATTTATTATACTTTATTATGCTCATATAAGAGAAGCCATACAGATGAAGCAATTGGGATTCCAGGCAATCAACTGGTTTGCCTAAAGTAAACCAGTTGTAAAACATATAAGATGTAAAATATAGCTATTGAATTTTCATGTGTTTTTACCTATTAGCCTCTCAATGGGGAAAAAACACAAACTTTTTCATTTTTTACCTATGACTATTTTCCTGTTTTAAAATCCATAATTGCTTCTGGTCCTCTTCCTTCCTACCACATATCCACAGGGACTCCTCTGCCCTCGTCTTGAAATCTTAGCCCCTCAGGCAGTCATCTTACCCCATTTAGAGGTCGTTATCCCAAACATTGTATTTTCCTGCTTTCTTTAGTAAATGACCAACCTCCCATGCGGGAGTCACAGGGGTCTCTATGACTCGAAATTATAACCTCCCTGATCTCAAGGGGACTGAGAAACATTTCACAAAACCTTTCAAATTTGGTTATATTGGTGACCATTAAGATCCCCGGATCTATTCATGGCCATCTTGGACTGTTTCTCCATTAAGAAGGAAAAATTTCCACTCCTTCTGCATGTCATTTGTGGCAAAGGCAGACTGTTACTGAGGAGAATTGGGACCTTCTGCCTTCTAGCTTTGGACTAGTGAATCCTTTCTTCAGCCTCATCTTCTGAGATTCCAGATACATCTTTTTCCTCCTGGAGAATATCAAAACAGTGTTCTGATTTTGGGATGCTGGGGTTTTGCCTACTTGTTTGGTTAGAGCACAGCATGGATGCTTATGTGTCTGGCCTAGTGAGGCCACTGTGCATATTTCAGTGATAACTCCAAGTGTCAAGCTTCCTCCCATTGGCCTGAAACAACATAGCACTTCATTCTGGAGTTATAACTTTTCTTTGAGACTGGAGCACATTTTGGAGGCCCATTATTTATGTTCCATAAATAAAGATTCTGCTTCTGTGGTAGGAGGCTCTGGAGTTTGTCTCAGGAACTGCTCATCAGTTTTAATCACAAGTTCTCCCCAGGAAGTTTCTGTGGATGTCCTACAGACACGTTGAAATGTCTTCCTGGTATCCACTGTGATTTTACTTCTGAGAACTGTAATGAAGAAATTATTTTGATTCTTTGGGGGTGGGTATTTTCTGGTTTCACCATCCATATCCTGGCTTTTGGTGTCTGTAAACTCTTCTGGTACCTATGCTGCCTCAAATTCTTTCTGGAGAGTCATCTTTTCTCCTCCTTTAATCTTGTGCCTTATGTGGTGGACCCCAGAACGGGTATAGGTCTTATGCCTAAGCTAACCATCTCTGTACAGTACCTCGTCTACCATGGCTGCTTTAGAAACCACAATGTGATTCAAAGTCAGTGGACTCAGTGAGACCTTTCCTGGAGCTCATGGGGGCCACGCAGAGCTCTACTTGTGGAGCCTGAGGTTGTACTGGCAGAAAGGAGAATTGCTGAGGTCCTCTTGCCTCCCATGGAAGCTGAATCAAACGAGAGCCAATAAGGGTCCAGTGCTGAGTAGTGAAGACAGAAAACTGGTAATGTTTGAGCCCTGGATCAAGCTGCATTTGCTGTGTCCTCTGTTACATCAACCAATGAATCATCTTTTCTTGATAAAAGTGGATTTAACTTTAGTAGCATACTTGGTAACCTGCTGCCAGAATCCTTTTGATACACTCAGTATGGTAGTAAAAAGAATTTTTTGGTCTATTTTCTGTTCTTTAGATATAGGAAAAAAGGTAAAGGACTCAAGGAAAAATTCTCATCAGTAAATGAAGAAAGTATGTACAGTGACAAAACAGAGTTACTATACTGAGTAGAAAAAAACATATAAGAAAATAGGGGAAAAAAAAAGACTTCTAAGTACAAAAGCCACAGCAAAAGACCAGCTTTTAAATGTATATTTATAATGTTTAGCTACTCTTATCTACAAGTCACCCCAGGTCATTTTCATCATTTAATCCTTTTATGTCAGCTATTAAAAAACTGGGTACAAAGTATAGTTCAGTACAAAGTTTAGTTCCTTGACCTTCAGTAGGTTTTTGACCTGATCATCTTAGGGACATTGAAATGTCTTGTTATGGAGCTGATGTACTATGTGAAAGGCCTAGATTGGGACCTGAGAGACAGTAGGCCATTAAAAGCAGGAGCAGTTAGTATTGGTTGTGAACTCTTATGGTTTCTTGCTAGAGGCATGAATTCTCTTCCAACTGTTCTTTGTATTAGTCCTAGTCGGGGAGTTACCTATGGCCTCAGCCTCCTTCATTGCTGGTCTCTTCTGATAACATGGGATTTCAGCTGCCTTTCATAAGGATTGTACTTCCCAACAAAGTGGCCATTATCTTTGTTATGAACAAGGAATAACATAAGACATAATTACATTAGGCAAAACTCAGTTATAAACAACAGCAGAAAGGGATGCATTGTAAGTCCTCTCCATGTCTACATGTGTCTGTAATCCTCACATCATTCCCATTTTGCCAGTACTGAAAATGTAAAATCACTTAGCACTAGTAGTATTTTCCTGTATGTATTCTATCCCAAGGACGGCAAATATAAGACATCTTCCACTTTCCCAATTCATCTTAGCAATTTTTATCTATGAGTCTTAGCTTAGCCTCAGACCTCTCAACTCAAAGCAACCAAAGGGCATAATAACAGAGGGTTGACCCTTAAACAGAAAACTGTCTTTCCTTTCTCATCTCTGGTTTGTTGCATTTTGAGATTTTATCATTGAAGTGATGTACACATTTTAAGTATTTTCAATTTTTCTTTTAATTTTCTATGTTGGAGTTGTAGGAGGGATTATGTGTAGTCATGAAGCTACACATAAGCATTGGGCTCTGTGACTCAGTTTCCTTTTTTATCGAAAAGGGACTATTTTTCTTGGATTGCTTTTTATGTTAGACCAGCAGCAGGTAAGAACAACTGCAAGGAAAGAAAAAGAAAGAAAGCAAGCAAGCTCCACATACAAAATAGCAGAAAAAGAATATAAATACAAAGAAACAACAGAGTCAGAGAAATCAAAGAAGCAGTACCATAATCCAGGCTCCTAGACTCACACTAAATTCTTCAATAAGATATGTTGGAACTGCTGCTAAGTGAAGCCCTGGGACACAGATCTAAGTAGGAGTAACTCTTGCCCTGAGGAGCTCCCAGTCTATTTGGGAAGACAGTCATGTACAACAAAGTATGAAATTACCAGGCACCATAGTAAGGGCTGGAATATGAATGAAGAAAGAGATACGGTCAGACTGAGAGTCTGAGTTGACCTGGTGGCATCAACAGAATCCTGTTTGACACTGTCTCACACTCCTTGTCCTGTAACCCAACAATCGAGTGCACAGGAGTTGTTACTAGACCTGCTTCACTAGTTTTCTCTGTGTGAAGCCCTAGTGTTCCTGACAAGTCTCAGTAACCAAGTATGGCGGTGAATAATTTTAAAATACAGTCCCTGGAATTGCATAGTCTTGGCCCTGAATCCTAACTGGCTGCTTACTGACCATGTGACCTTGGGAAGGTGAATATCCACTCTGAGCCCCAATTTCCAGACTTAGTGGGTTGCTGAGGCAATTAAAGTAGAAAATATCTCTGAGGTAATGTTTCTGTTTATTTGTTCACTTCTAAATTTGAAATTTGTCATTTTAAATCATAAGGAGAAAGATGAGCTCAACTTGGTATAAGGAGATAAGGACTGAGGACTTAGGTAGTGTTTAGGGACAGACTTTTGGGGTTTATGCTTTTTGGGGAGAAGGGGTCAAGAGACGCAGATCCTGACTGAAGAAGAACAATCTCTGTGGAGAACAGGAGAAATCCAGAGAAGGGGATGAAGGAAACCGATACGGAGAAAAGTCTGGCTCCTAAGTGTTCTCCAGAGAGTTAGAGAAAACTATCTTAGAGTCTGAGAACAGTTTTTTGATGTGTTGACAGCAAAGGTTAGAATGGTGTTTCCTTTAGAAAATCCCAAGTGTGTAGAAAATGAACTTTTACCAAGTACTTTAGTAGCAGTTTAGCTTCTTCCTCATAACTTGTGTTGGTGGTTTTTTTTTTTTTTTTTTTGAGGGGTCAGGGTTTATTGCCAAGCCTGTTTGTTTTTTGGCTATGTGATATATCAAGTCAATTATATTCTGAAGAAGGAAAATCTGACATAGCAGAAGAAATGATGCAGCAGGGAGCAGATAACCACAGCAAAATTTATATTTGTTTTATGAGCAAGTGCTACCACAGAGTCCAGCACATTTCACTGAATGTGGCAGAGGCAGTTGTAATGAAATGGGTGTTTCTTAGCATTTGGTATCTCAGGGTTGGGTAAAAAATTTTGAAAAAATGATAGGCGCCATCTGAAAACCACCTCCACCCTCATGAATTCCAAATAGGTGGTTTGAGGAAGCATCTGGCAGTTATATTTTCACTTACCCACACTTAAGTAGTAGGAATACCAATTTAACAAGCAAGATAATTAGGCAGAAATATGAAAATACTAGTCAATATCTCATTATGTCTTTTAATCCTCACAGCAAATCTCTGACTTTGGCATTTTTATCTTATCTTAGAGGTACAGAAGTTTTGGGTAACTTAGGTAACTTGTCCAAAGTCAGTAGCTGGTCAGTGGCCAAACTTGAACTAGAGTCAGGGATGACTCATCCCAGTGAACAAGCCTCAGTAAAAGAGCTTCACTATAGTGTTTGTCAAATGAACAACAGACTAGGAATCGGTAGCTGAAGTAAAAGTGAAACATTTTTTTAAAGATCATATCTATCGTATAGAACAAATGTCACACTCTCTAAACTGTATTTTTTCACTATGTAGGGAAAAAGTTAACCTTAATTAACGAGTTGTTTAATCTAATCTTGTCAGTGAAACAACTCAACTCTGTACTAGAGTTTCTCCACTGCTAAAATGTGTTTGGCAACTGTGATAGTTGTGGTGTCAACTTGAATAAGAAACACCTAGCAGATTGGTTTAGCACAGTTCTGAGTGTGTCTAGATGACTAGCTTGTTAAAAACAGAAGATCCACCCTGGGTGCAGGTGGCACCAACCAAAAAACTCATAGTCTCGATGGAATAAAAAGGGAAAGAAGAAGAAAGCTTCACTTCTGTTTCTTTGGAGGAGCTCAGTCTTCACCATCACCTTTGGACATCTGTCTCCAGGTTCCCAGCACAAAGTCTTCAGCCTTCTTGTGTAGACCCTTTGATTTCCTGATGTGGATGCACACAGGACTCTGAAGTAACCTCCAGACCTCAACTTTTGACTGGGTCATCTGCCTCTCCAACGTACAGAAGGCCCTTTTGCTTTCTTCCACACCTGACTCAGCCAAAAGCCATGGTAAGCTTACCTTCTAAATCTTTTAGATGTCACATATAAATGTTTACTTTTATATTTAACCTGCTCCTCTGATGAACCCCAACTGATACAGCAATTCAGGGCACAGTGACCTTATGTGGCAAGCAGTAAGTTAAGACCCTTTCTTTTATATATGTCTTAATCACTTCCCTTGCTGCAGGAACAAAATACCTGACACCTATAATTTAAGAGTTGGCTGGCTCCAAGGCAGAATGGCATGGCAGAGGAGCATAGGAAAAGAGAGTGGTTCACCTCATGATGGAGTCAAAAGCCAAGGGAGGAGCTGGGAAGGGAGCTATTACCTTTGTGGTTCACACCCACAGTGACCCACCTCTTCTGCTAGGCTCCACCTTTTAACAGGAAATCACCTACAATGCCCCTATAATCCAGGGACCTTCAAAAGGTATCACCTATGATCCCAAGAGACTTTAGGTGGACATTTAGATATGAGACATAAGAGCATTAAGAGCATTACTTACGGGAATGCTGTTCTCAATCAAGCTCATTGGGTGTGAAGCAACATAAAGATGTTCTGGAGACAGATCTGCAGGCAAAATGTGAAGAGTATTTTGTGACATGGGTAGGGGGATTACAGTAACCCTTAGTCTGTCATTGGTACAAAATGCCTACTATAGGGGAATTGGAATAATTCTTTTTAAGGCAGGGGATTTGTATCATCTATCAACAATCTTTTAAAAGTCTGTCTTACTGAAGCAAGTAGTTTTCATTAGCAACCAGAAACTTGGAGGAGAGTTTTCCAGATTCTTATTAAATACACTGAATTTACGAAAAGTCTGTTTCTTTATGTGTAGGAAACATTGGTCAGTGCTGTCAGCTGAGAGGGACTGTATGCAGTCCACAGTGGACAGTACTTTCAGGTACAACCTTCAGAGAAGCTATGAATTGCTCAGGAGTAAGGACTGGAGCAAGTGGGCCTAAGGCTGGAATGAAGCCTGACTACTGTTCCATTCAGCTTTGGCACAGGCTGGCTTTTTTGACCAAGTGGGTCAATACCGTAGAACTGACTGAAAGAGGCCTTCTAATCAGTCTTAGATTTGAATGTGGAGCTGAATGGATGAAGTACCCTACAAGAGGGACAACTGCATGTCTTTGGAGCACTCTGGCTGCTAGCTGGTGTCTGTGGGCTATAATTTGGCATCTGCTGCCTTACAGGAGCTGCTTTTCCACCATGTCTCCCTGAGCTCTATTCCACCAAGGCAGACGCAAACCACAAATCTTACAGATTCCTTATGAATCATGGCATTTGCCACTTCTTGATAGCAATTTATAGAACAAGTCATCAGTTTAGTTTAGATGTTAGAAAAAATCTTAAACCCCTTTCAATGATTTGTAATGGTTTTGCCTACCTTTTGTATATCACATAATTCCATTTTATATGTATGTGATACAAGTATGTATATATGTATACACATATGCATGTAAGTATGTGGTCTCCTTTAATTGCCATAGTAATATTATAAAGTATGACATTAAAGGAGATCCTGGAATGCAGAGAAATTAATAAGCCTGAGACGCTAGTGCTAGTAAGATGTATAGCAGAGAGGAACACAGGGCTCTGAGTATGTATCTAGGATCCTCTGTCCCACCACAGCTGCTACTCAGTGTGAAATCCACTCACTCCCCTACGGATGCCTGAGTCATGATTTCCTGGAGTAATCAGGCACCTGACACAAATCATCAATATAAGAAAGTGAGAGTATCACAACAACACAGGCACAAAGCATGTCACACCATGATAACATTCCATTTCACGTGACTTAGTGCTTGACTTAGTTTTTATAAGGTATGTGCTAGACTTTTGCTGCCTGATCTTCCAAAGTGCAGTTTAGTCAACTGGTCAACAGCCTATGAAGCAGTGTATATAGCAGAAAGAATGGGGAGGCTGCATCCAAATGGCCTGGGTTTGAATCTTGGCTCTTGCACTTCTGCGGCTTTTGTATATTATTTATTTCTTTGTGAATTTAATTTCCTAGCCTATGAAATGAGAGTGATGATGTCTTTCACAGTCATGGTGCTTGTTGCTATAGTGGCAGGTGATTAATTGACATTATTATTACTGTTACCATAGGAACAAGTGGTCCCCAAAGTAGAGGTCAGGGTCCTATAGTTGTTGCCTAAGGGCCTCAGTGACCACTGTTAGAGACCAGGATTTCACAGTCCTGAGTATTTCTTCTTTCCTTCCTTACCTGTGATCCCTCTGGCTCTTTCTACCTCCCTTTTCTTCTTTCTTATAATTGGGTAATTGGGAAGATGAGAGAGCTGTGAGCCTCAAAGGAGTTGTCCAAGTTTATTTGCAGCTCCCAGGTTCCCAGTGGTTGCTTCTAAAACTGTGTTATTTAGAATATGTGTTTCAATTGTGTGGGCATTTAGGGCACACACAGCCGTCCTGGGACGATTAAGGCTGTGGTTCTTCAGCACCGTAGACAAATGTCTCTTCAGTAGAAGGAATTTCCGGTTGCATCACTGCTCTTGCGACTCACCCCGGGGAACCGGTTGCAACAGTGTTCCTGGTGCACTGTGACTGGCAAACAGCAGAGGGCACCTCTAGCCTGCAATGGAAGGGAAGCTGACCCTGAGAGCGCAGGGATGTTTCATGACGCATCCATGTGGTGGGTACTCTGCTGTCTCCCCATGCTCTTATTTTATAAAACTACATTTGTCACACCAGCATTTGTCCCTGACTAGCACCTCCCTGTCCACTTGGGACAGCCCGTTGGTCTTTCATGACTTCTGATTGAAGAGAGAGCTTTGGACTCGGAGGGGGTTATTTCCCCTGAAAGCTAGGGACTGCCTGCAGTACTCTACCAGGCCTTTGTTGAGCGAAGCCTTCCAATCGTGTGTGGAACTTTGTTTTATTAAATCTGATGAGCTCTATATTTTTGCCACATGTCACAGATCACCCACGTTGACTGAGCCCTGCCAGAGCTGAGCTGCTATTACCCTGAAATGAAGCCAGATTTTTTAAGTGGGTGGGGGTAATTCCAGTTTGGTGCAATAAATTATATGGTTCTGCCTGATTTATTTTGCTCTGGGCTGGGAGAGCTCTTGACGGAATGTATCTTGCAATGTGTGTATATGGGTTGGGGAGCAGGCAGGAGCGAGGAGGTGGGGAGGAAGGGAGGGAATTAGGTGTTTCTGTAGTGAATGGGCTGAAAAAAATAGATACAAATACAGCTGCCTGCTTTTCTTTTCCAGCCCCTTCCACAACGTTGCCTGTCATTCTTGTTTTTTATACTCTCTAAACTTGGAGCTGGGCTTCTGAAATTCCAGAAAGAAATTTGGGAATGCATATTTTCCACAAATGGTAATAGAATCCCTGTACTCCTATTCATTTCTCTGTCTCAAAGGGAAACTCTGGAGACTCAGGATTCCAAGAAACATGCCTCCAGAAATCTCCTTTTCTTGGTTTTGTTTTGCTAGGTTATGGTTTTGAAAGAGGATGCTGGTACCTGGATTATCACTGATTCATGTCCCAGTTAAATGTGCATGGTTTTATAGGGGAGATGAGCTTATAACCACATAGAAAAGCGAATAAAACTTAAACTGAACCTTCTCATCTGGACCTTAGGACCAGGGGACTAGTATATAAAATGCGTTATGATAAAGTCCAGGAAGACTAATGTTAGAAAATCTCTGCTCCAGTCTATATATTCTACCTCAAATTCCTAATCTCTCTATGGCTTGTTTGTTTTAATTAGCAAAAATAGGAATGCAATCTACCTCACCCAATTGTCACAGGAATTAAATGAAAAAATGTGGATGAATTCTGTGACATCAGGAAAGCTCAGTTATAAACATTTATTTATTTTTTTGCCTGTAAACTGTTCTGATGGCATGTGGGCAGGCTTAGTTAATCAAAGGAGACCTCTTTGTCTTCTGAGACTTTTCTTTGAAGAAGGAGGGCTCAACAGCCAGACCTCAATGGTGTGGTTTCCCTGGCCTCACAGCTGGAGTAGAGGAGCGTAGAGATCTAAGAAAGGGTACTGAGGAGAAGCTGGGAATCGTATCTGAAAAGCACTCTATATTTATAGATGTGTCCTTCATTTATTTCCAAGGCAAATAGATTTAAATAAAACCAAGGTTTTATTCCTTATTCAGGATAACTGTGCTTATAATTCCAGATTTGGAACCTTACAAATGAAGTTTAAATTTTTTTCCCATGGGATACAAAAATAAAAAGAATACTTTTTCCATTGAGTTCAGATAATTTTAAGATACCCACTTTGTGAAAAAAAAAATTGCTTCAAAAGACCCTTCTACTGGAAAATCTTAGCTGAACAGAAGGATGGAAACTTTCTCATTGTAACATTTGTTTGCACTTGAACCCATATGGTGCTGAGTTGAGTTGATGACCTTATCAGAATGACAGAAGGAAATATTGAACTTTATTCTCCACTATTATCTGATTTTTTTTAAAGCTAAGTCTCGTGACAATCATTGTTGTACAAATAACAGTGAATCTTGACTCTATTGATCCGTTTGTTTCATTTTTGGCAATAAGTTCTCTGCTGTCAAGGTGGCATCTATCTATTAATAAAATGCCTATCTTATGTTTGAAATATTCTCAATATTTCTGCCTCATAAAAAATTTATTTGGGGGGCTGGGGATTTAGCTCAGCGGCAAAGCGCCTGCCTGGCAAGCGCAAGGTCGTGAGTTCAGTTCCCAGTACCAGAGAAAAACCAAAAACTAAAAACCAAAAACCAAAAAAAAAAAAAAAATTTATTTGGTACTGGGAATCGAACTCAGGACCTTGTGCTTGCCAGGCAGGTGCTGTGCCACTGAGCTGTATCCCCGACCCTGCCTCATAGAATTATAGGAAGAAATCTTAGGCAAAAATTTAAAAAGCTACTATATTCCAATGCAAAACATCTTTGTAATCTTTAGCATTCAAATCTAGAGTTGAGGTTGCCTTGTTGGAGAAACTTCCCTTTTGCTTGTACACCATACCTCTCCCTGCCCCACCCCCACTGGCTAGCTTCTCCGCTCTGTTGCTCCATCGTAGGTACCACCAAGCCCTCAGTCCTTCATGTCTTCTCCCTGAGGGTGGCAATTCTCCATCTAACACTCAGTCTTCCCCAGATACATTATTTAAAAATTAGAAAACAATAGTGCTGATGTTTATTTCTCTTAGCTCTATCTTCTGCCCCTTTTACTATGTGAGTGTTCACTTTTCCCACTGAAAATTTTTATAGTAATATTTTCCCCTCTGATGGATTTGCCAAAATATAAACCTTATTAAAGAATCTTATTATTTACAATCTCTTAAGTAATGGCTTTAATTACATGGAATTTCCTAAATCTTCCTAGAAGTACTTTACTATAGATATTATATATATATATCTAATATAATTCCCCAAATTGTACTATTAGTAGAAAAATATACATAGCTTATGATTTCTCAGCCTGTGAATCAGGGTTAAAATTTAAAAAAATGTTTTCAAAATAAGAAAGAAATTTGGAAAGTTTTGAAGACAATTGAAGGACAATTATAGCCATCAAAAGGAATTGGAATCTCTTTCTCTCTC